TGTAAATTTAATGGTTAACATAAGTTCATACATGGAGAAAACATCTCAATATTCATATATTGATGAAAAAAATGAAATTTAATAATGTAGTACCTCATTTCTTATTGGATTCCTAAAAACAATATTTATAATGATTTTTAATATTTTTTTTAGATTTTTTTATTGTCGAATCCGACCGATTTAGCCGATTCCCAATCTGAACTACCGGTTCACAGATCCGGATGGATTTTGGGGGGCCCGATCTAGGGTTCCAATCCGTTTTTCAAACCGAATCAACCCCTTAAATTCTTTAATCCAAAATCCATTTCTAAGATAGATTTTGGAATAACTCATATGAATAGATGAGTCGGCCAACTCTGAAGAAACAGAATGTGTGTGCCTCGGAACATAAAATTTAAAATATGCCATTTTTAATATTTACATTGTTTACTTTTCAGATTCATTAGGTGGTCAAGATTATCTAATTGTTAGAGGAAGTCTGTCTATGGAATGAGACGACACCATCTGACACATCGAAACTCCTACCCAAAAACTTTAGGTTAATAAATCATAGTTCAGATTTCAGATGGATTTTTGGAAGAAAATGCATAGGAAATAAAAACTCACCAAAACTTCTTCCACTTTTATTTGGTAATCCACGTAGCTACACGTATGAATTTTTTTTTTTTTTTAATGTAATTCAATGAGATGACGAATATTTATTTATTTATTTATTTTAAATTGTTAATGTTTTTAAATGTATTAAGTGAAAATCAAAAGCTGGACCTTAGATGGAGGGGCATAAGTGATACTACCACAACCCAACCTTATTCTTACACGTATGAATCCTTGTACGCATGAATTTCAAGAAGCATGAGCACCCACCTGCATTTCAATCTCCGCTAAACGAGAGGCATATGGAATATCAACGTGGTTCATTCCAAGGGCCTGCACATTGTCCAATGCAGCCTAGAATGGGAAGATGGTGAGACACATATGCTAACTACTGTTGTAACCAACCGTGAGCAATGTGATCACTTCGCTCTCCGTTCTTTCCCTCCCCTAAAGCTCGCGAGAGAGGTTTCTTGTGAAATTTCAGGGGGAGGAGAAAGACGGATAAGGGAAGAGGGAGAAATTCTAATATTTTGTATAAATGGAAGGGATCCCATGTTATAAAGGAGCGTTTGAAAAATCAAAGTGGCCTCGGAAACTGGCCAAGGGCTGGTCCGAGTAATCGATAAACAGGCCGGTTCAATCAATTTTAATTGTTTGTCCAAAAAGTATTAAATAAACATATAACTCAAAAAATATAAAAAGTATATTTAAATCACCATGAAATAAAGCACATCCAAAATGAAGTTGGCCAAAATATTAAAAAACATTAAAAAACACATTACAACCAAATCTCTTTTTTTTTAGACTTTTATTTTTTTTTTGAATTTATTTAAAATAGTCAATTGGATAATCAAAACCAACCAAAATTAAATCAACTACTGCATGATTCCGATTTGACCTGCTGGTTTCGAGTCGGACATGCTGCGTTCGCAAAAGCATAATTAACTTAAAAACTGACGGTCCAAAAATGTGTTACAAGATACACTATTTTCAAAACTTGAAATCTATTTTTTTCTTAAGCCCGTGCATCTTGATGCCTAGATGATCAATTTGAAGATATATGGGCATCAAAACAACCTCTTCTAGTGGAATTTTTGAGGTAGGCTCTAATTTGATTGTTTAGAGCCTAGGCTTTATATAAACTTTTCCGGAGGATGCATTCCTATATTTGGGACCAAGGCATAAACCATCCATTACAAAGATGGATGGATGTAACTAGTGATCCTTCCAAAAAAACTTAGAATTGATAGTTTAAATATTTTCTTCAGACAAATTATTATTTTTAATTTTGAGGGATTGTATACTATAAGACCATTTGTTTTTAATACAAAGGGGGTCACAATCACTTTTAGCCATTAGATGCAAGATCTCATAGATGAAAGTATGCCACAATATTCAAGAAATTTTGTTTTGAACTTTGTGCCTAAATAACGACACATCCTCAATTACCTAATTTCAAATCTAATGGTCGATAATGATTCTATACATTTCTTATTTTTTAACATATTAATAATGATCTCTATGACAAAGATTATATATTCTTTAAAAATTAGGGCCACAATCTATTTAAAAAATGGATTATTAAATATACGGCGCCAAAAGTTATCACAGTTTTAGAACTTGGGCTGCTAATGGCCCCTGGCTGGCGGGCGGTCTCTAGGGCCGAGTTCGGGGTGCATGTTAAGGCCTGTTGCTGGGCCTAGTAGACCCACAATATTTTCAGGCCAAGCACAAGACAGCACTGGTCTCTCAAGCCAGGCCCGAAAGGCTTTTAATGCATATATAGTGTAGGTTAAATAAAAATATTTTCATTTTTATTTAGGGCCCGGCCCAATTTTTTTCAGTTCAGGCTTGCAACGAAATTTTCAAGTCTAAGACTGCTACCCTACACTGTTTCGGTCAAGAATTAAGCCAGGGCTCCCCTTGCCCTAACCCGCTAACTGCCCTTGTTAGAGCACATTCCTGCTACCTTCACGAAGATATCAATAAAATCATCTAATCGCCTACAAAATTCATTGAGATTCTTAAATCAAATAATTTGTCAATAAAATGGAAATTTTTTAAAACCATTTTATTTATGAATAAAATTAACTATTTTATCGGATTTGAAGGTATGACCCTTGATGGAACAGAGTGGTAGAGCATAATTCGTATAACCCTCAATACTTGATATAAGACTCAATGATGATGATGACAATGATGATAAAGAAGGAAAAAATTTATAGAGAGCCTAGGCCCAACAATCAAATTAGAGCACACCTCAAAAATTTCATTAGAAGAAGTTGTTTTGATGTTTAAATATCCTTAAATTGATCATCTCGACATCAAGATGTATGGATATGAGCAAAAAATGGATTTCAAGTTTTGATAATAGTACATCCTGTAATGCATTTTGGACTATCAATTTTCAAGATTTTTCAAGTTTTCATGGATATGCTCGATCTACAATATTTTTGTAAGCTTTAAATTTTATAATAAAAAATGAAAATATATTTTAAGACTATCATAAAGATTTTCAGTATTAAAACCCACATTTCTCGACACAATTTGAAGGTGGACTTTACTTTGATTGTTTAGAGCCTTGGCTCTATACAAACTGCACCATAATGATAATGATGATCAATTTTTTTGTCAAAAAATACCTAGACTGTCCATGTTCGTGATAGGATGCATGTGAATTAATTAGTCAGAGCAACTTGGTAATTTGAATACTTAAAAGATAGTTGAGTTAAAATACCATGTTTGTTCCAGATTCCAAGCCTGCACACATGTTTCATTAATTAATCTATTTTCAAGTGTGGAACCTACAAGGAACATGGTATTTAGCTTTTTTGCATGGGTGACTTGAACTAGAGTCATATTGTTAAAATGTCCCCACTTCATTACTTCGAGAAAAACTAACATTCTCTTAGTGGGAAAATAAATACTATCACATTCATTACTTACAAAAAACATACTACTCCAAGCATATCTGTTGGGGAAAAAATGTCAATCACTACTTATCGAAAACTACCACATGACCGGTTTAAGAATTTGAACTTAGTCCAGAGTTCAATATCAGTTGTATCTCATGGCCTCTTTCACATAGATGGCCCTTACAAAATTCGAATCGATTTCCCCAATCAGGCTCGTTGCGACTCTTGATCATTATAGGTTATAAGGGGACATCCCCTGAAATTTTTCATGATAAACTTACAGAAAAGAAAAATGAAGTATTTGAATACTGAAATTAGCAAACAATTGAAAACTTGTTGCTCTGCAGATTTGGCAAAATGAGTTGATTAAAGTCACATTCAAGGAGTGTTATGAATCGTTTTTTGTCTTAAAAAATGTATGTCACATTAAATTCCTCTACTTCTATAGATTTTACAAAGACTGCATAACTTTTGAATAAGGGGTTAGATTATTTCACACAAGAAATTTGAGTTCCTACTTCCTAGAGACCAACACACATGATGCATTACTTCGAGATATAACTGAAACGATATCAAAATTGACCTAAAACTGAATTCCACACAATATCAATGTACTCAAGCACACTATACCATAAACACATACTATGAACAGAGAAATATTTCAATAATTCTCCATGAAGGAAACTCATATTAAAGGACATAATTCCGCACATGCTAACACATAAATCCATAAAACATTGTGAGACAGATCAGATGTGGAGTTAAGCTACCTCCCTTGGCATCAACGATTTGAGCACATTTTGGATCTGTATTATGTCAAACAGGATCCGCATGCTCGTGAATATACGGCCCCTTTCATGTTTCTCTGCAACCACTTGACCTTGTAAAATATAAGAGAGTTTTATTATTGGGAAACAAAAGCAGGTTCCCCCAGGAACACCAAACTCAGTTCTCCATCCTGCCTTAAAACCACTCTGAGGTGCTCGGTAACATGCCACTATTCCCAAAATTCTGTTTCTTTCCCTTTATTGCACTTACGAATGAACATCTGCAGGCTGCAGGGAGAGAGCACCAGTTAATTTGCCATTTCATTCCCACAACTCTCAGTGTTTCTTTGCTCACAAAATCTTTCTTCAGAATGAACAGGAACTGTTGTACACATCTGTTTCCGTTGATTTAATAAAGATGTGCATTTCAATCTCAACCGTAATGTAATACCATATGGAAATGAAAGCTCCATCACCCAGAGGATTGCTCTCATCATGCCACCATTGGCGATGGAATAGCCAAGTGGCAGTCCGAAAGATTCTTAATTTACTAAGCATAAAAAATCTGTGATCCTTCGCTCATGAAATCTGTAATCATTTATTTTGAACGTCTTACATTTCCCAACCAATTTTCAAATTAAAATATCTACATGCTTGTGCATGTCTATCTACAACAGTGCAGATGGTAAACCACATATATTAATGGACAAAAAGAGAAGGTGGAAGTCCCACAAAGAAACACGCCATGAATTAAAGATAAATAGATTAGAGAACAATACAAAACAACAGGTGCCAATCAAACAGTAATAGATAAATAGGGAGCAAATTACCCGGTTCAAGATTCAAAAGTTTCTAACAAACTACCCACCAAGAGTCACCAGCTCATCTGAGATGGCTTTGGCACATTATAACAGAACCCCATCAACAGTTGGAAATGGACATTATTACTGCCATTTCTTCACTCTCTAATCGGATTTGGTGTAGAAGCGAATGGCAACTGCAAGACCAAGAATCATTAGGGGGACAAAGAACTGGAGGATTTTGACGATGAACTCTGTGGTTTTGTCCTGGTTATAGTGAGGTTGCTTGGGTGGAGTGTACTTGAGCTTGGTGGGGAAGGTCGATGGATCGATCTCCCCAACATAGAACTCATCCATCATCGCCCGTGCACTAGTACTGTGCCCGACATCCTCAAAGTCATCGGTTGCATCTTTTCCTATCCATCACCATGGTCCACAGCAACAACAAATTCTATGCATAGTTAATGGTTGAAGTAACAAATGCATGCATTCACACCTCTCTCTCTCTCTCTCTCTCTCTCTCTCTCTCTCCCATCCACACAGCATATGCAGACACAAAGCGGGAAGGGAACGTCATATCCACACAGCATAGGCAGGCACACAGTGAAAGGGAATGGAAGGCCATATCCACACAGCATATGCACACACACACATACAGAGCGGGAGTGGGTGGGTCATATTATTACCAGTTGCAGATAACAAAACTTCGTCTCCTCCAGGATGGTCCTCCAAGAATTCTGTTACATTATAAACCTGTCCAAATATTTTAAGACAGTGAACTTGAGAGGATTTGGGGCAACTTATGTGAGAATCAAAGCCGGAGAACAAATCAAGTATCATAACTCATAACCACAAAGTAAAAGTGAGTACCAGAGTGTGAAATGCAGAGAGACATGTATGGGCTACACAGGAATTTGGACTCTGAACATGCGCCAACATCAGTCGGCATACTATAATCAAAAAATAAAATTACAAAAACAAACCATGAACCCCGGCCACCAATGTTTAAAGGCCACTAGAATTCAATTTTGTGGACTCCATAATGAGAAGAACCAAGAATGACCGACTAACTATTAAATATCAAGAGTGATTTATTGAGGAATGCATCTCAAATTTTTCATGGCAAACTCTTAGGTTCTCAACATTCATGAGGGATATAAGTACTTAAGACCATGCTCACCCATATTGCAGGAATCATCTCAGAAATGCTCCTTAGTAAGATCAACAATAACATGTTCTAATTCATGATACATTTCCAGTCCGGACATCTCCTGGACGTGTTCCAAACTGGAATTCTATCTGTTCAGAATTCCAGTTCCCAGGCTACACCAAGATAAAATAAAATTTGATAACCAAACTTCGTTGACATCGGATAATACACATTCTTCATGTTTTTTCCTATACATCTTCAATGCCCATAAGCATTGTTCAAAAAAGCTGACCGCCCAGTGCCTAGGCGGCCGCCTAGGCAGTCCAAAAGGCCTGGGCGGCCAAACTAGGCAGGAGTCCCTGGGCGGCCGCCTAGGCAATACGGAACCTGCCTAGGTGGGCGCCCAAGGCCTGCACTCCGCTTCGGCGCAGAAATGAGTTTTTGTTTTTTTTGTTCAATTGAGTTTTTTTGAAACATAAAGGCATTTAAGGATATGGGTTTTAGGTTCATTTGAAACCTAAACCCACAAGAACCCATTTTAGATAGAAAAAAACCTCATAAAAACTAAATTTTGTGATTTTCATTGGATTGAAATGTTTCTCAAAGTAACGGAAAATGGATCCAAGCATCACCCAAGTAGATTAGATTTAGTTTTAGAGTTTTTTTAATCCTATTAGAAGGTGTTTTTGATTATTTTAGCACCAGAAAACATCTCAGAGGTGGAATTTTGAAGTTCGAGCAATCAAAGTAAGTGCAAAACTTTATTTTTTAGATTGCAGTTTTATTTTGAGATGTTTTCATCAGGATCTAGTTGAGGTGGAGATTCGGGTTGGAAATATTGATATAACCCAAATCCAAATGACAAAAATTGCATTAGACGCAAGTATTGTGGAAAAGATACAAAATGGGGTATAAACCAGTTTAAGAAACATCTTGCCGGTATTAAAAGGGATGTTGCCCTTGTAAAAATGTTCTTGAAGCTATCAAAGAGGAGATTAAGTAATATATGAGTTCTGTAAAACAAAAACAGGAACAAAATCCTTGTCATTTGAATAGATCTATTTCTTGTTGTTTTAGAAGAAGTGATCCGGGTTGGAAGTATGGTTATAACCCAAAACCAAATGATAAAATTTGTATAAGGTGTATCTAGCTCCCTCTGGTAAATTCTCAGTAGCCTTCTTCTATAAAAGCCTAACTCTACCCCCCACTCTTCCAGCGAATCCGACTTCGGTACTGTCAAAAGTTTGGTCCACCATCGCCCCACCCAAGGTTCAAACTTTCAACTGGCTCGCCTGCTTCCAAAGAGCTCTCACAATGGACCACCTCCAGAAGATTGGGATCCCAATCCCCGATAGATGTGCTTTGTGTCTCTGCAAAGAGGAATCAAATCCCCATTTATTCATCCTTTGAGACTTTACCTACGAACTTTGGGGCCTAGTGTTGCAACTCTTTGGCATCAAATGGGTCACCCCTCCTACGGTCAAGGCCTTAATCTCTTATGATCTAGATTCATGTTGGCTCTTATGATCTAGATTCATGTTGGCTGAAGGCTGGAAGAATCTTATGGAAGGCCTACTACAGCTGCAACCATATGGACAGTCTGGGTGGAAAGAAATACTAGAATCTTTCAAGGTTTTAAGCTCTACACTTCAACACTCCTACACAAGGCAATCTCATTGGTCACCTTCTAGGCCTTTAACCACAAGGTTTTTTCAAGCATACTAGGGAGCTTTTTCCTCAGTCAATGGAAAAATATACTTCATCACCAACCGCGACTGGCATCAAGACCCAATAACTGACGATCACCATTAGAAGGCATCATCAAGCTGAATTTTGATGGCCCAACAAGCTCGGGGGGTCTTTAGAGACCATCAATGCAACATTCTGTTAACATAATCTGAGCATATTGGTCTCAATGATTCCAATCACGCAGAAGCCTTGGCCCTCTTACTAGGCTTGAAAAGTTTCAATCACTCTTGGGGCTCACACCTGATAGTGGAAGGAGACTCACAAAATGTTCTCTCCTGGGCAAGTAGGATGACTTCTCTACCATGGCACTTAGCCTCTATTTTTGAAGAAATTGATCACATTTACAAGGCTATGGATGTCTCTTGGAAGTATATATGGAGGACGTCCAACAACTTCACAGATCTCTTGGCGAAAGAGGGAGCTAGAAGCCAAGGACAAGTTCAAGCTGGGTCCGACTCCTTTTTTGCTCAAGACCACTGACACATAACTTAAACACCTTGTATCTCGTCCGCTTTCAACCTTGCTGTAATTTTTTGAAAGCTTCATGTAAATCGATGTAATTGGGTGGTTTCTATAAGCCCTTTTTTGTACATGATAGACTAACACATTTTTTACCGAGTCACCCCGTGTGGGTGACTTTGGACTCTCTCACATCCATGTAATCATCTCTCCCCATAATACAATGTTAACTTTCTCTCAAAAAAAAAAATTTGTATAAGGTATAATTTTTGTGAAAAATATACCAATGGGGGTATTAACCGATTCAAGAAACACCTTGCCAGTATTACATGGAACGTTGCTTCTTGGAAAAAGGCTCCTGAAACTATTTAGGATGAGATTAGACAATTTCTAAATTTAAAAGAACCAGAAAAGGATGAAAATGAACCTTGTTCTATGGAAATATCTTATCCAAGTTCTTTTAGAAGTGGTGATCCGGTGAAAGTATGGTTATATCCTGAATCTGAATGACAAAAATCGTATTAAATGTAATTATTGTGGAAAGGATACTAATGGGGGCATTGACCGGTTTCAAAAACACCTGGCCGGTATTAAGAGAGATGTTGCCCCGTGTAAAAATGTTCCTGAGGCTACCAGGGAGGAGATTATACAATATTTGAATTCAAGGAAGCACAAAAACATAGAAAATAGTAGAGTAGCCAACACTCCTAGGGCCTCATCTGCACATACTAGTAAGAGGGAGGTAGAAGAAGAGGAGTAAGATTCAGATTTAGAAGAAACAGAGGAGGATGAACGTTATATTGAAGAGGGAGATGACTCTGATGATGATGGCCTCGAATTTGATGCATGTGATGAGGAGGCTTTACCCAATTCGTTCTTATGATGATGATGACTACAGAATGAAGAGTTAAAGATGCTTGAGTGCTTGACTCTTGGTGTTGAGTGTTGACTATTGTGTCCTAGACTGTATATCTTTTGAATTTTTGTATATTTTTTTTTTCTTATTTTTAATTTCTTCTTTCTATTTTCTACTATCTAACTTTTGTGTGTACAGTCTACAACGTATCAGACTATCAGTGTATGCTTGCATGGCTTTATTGTTTTAGCATTGTATGAAAATATGGTCATATGGATTATCAAAATTCTCTTCTCGACTTCTATCTTCTTCTTTTTTTTTCACTTGGGCGGCCCAAGTTCTGGGCCCCCACCTAGGCGCTAGGCAGCCTGGACCCTCATAGCGGCCTAAGTGCCGCCTAGCGCTTTTTGAAACACTGTAACTCCCCACAACTCATAACTTCCTACTAGATAACTGCCCACTAATATAAAGTGAGAGAGAAAGAGTAAATCACACAGACCTCAACCCCTACAATTTTGCATCATATTTCCAACACTCCCCCTTGATGCAAAATTGTTCTTTTTTTCTTTTTAACTTCATGTACAAGATTTTCAATGAAATTACAAAGATCTTCATTTTTTTTTTTTAGTGTACAAACCAATGCTTCAAGACTTTCAATTTGCTTTTTCATTTGATAAATTTCTTCTTCCCTTGCAATCTTCATATTCTCTTCTTCATTTTGGTAAAATTCATTTAACTTGAAAACATGAAGTTTAACAAAAAAGAATTTTGCATCAAAGGGGGATGTTGAAAATATGATGCAAAATTGTAGGGGTTGAGGTCCGTGTGATTTACTCTTTCTCTCTCACTCTATGTTACTGGGTAGTTATCTAATAGGAAGTTATGACTTGTGGGGAGTGATCTAATAGGAAATTATGAGTTGTGGGGAGTTATCCAAAGAAGTTGTAGAACGTAACTTGTTTGTGGGCAGTTTGATAACTGTTGTAAAGATCTATAAATAGGCACCATGTATTGGAATGCATTGCACCTGTGTAGCACCTGTGAATGCACTTGTGAAATGTAATGCATTTGTGATATGTCATAGATTTTTCAGAACCTATGGCAAACTCTACTCCAAAAAGCATGTTGCACCAATTTTGTCAAAAGCGAAAGATTGAAAAACGAATTTACAAAATTATCAAAGAAGGACCCGATCATTGACCTATTTTTGTCTGTGAGATATAGGAGGAAGAGAATTTTTAGGTTTCCCTATGGACACAAGAAAAGAAGCCGAACACAGTGAAGCTTTCTCTCTCACTCTATGTTAGTGGACAATTATCTAGTAGAAAGTTAGAGTTGTGAGGAGTTATTCTTAGTGGGTAGTTATCTAGTAGGAAGTTATGAGTTGTGGGGAATTATCCAAAGAAGTTATGGCATGTAGCATGTTTGTGGGTAGTTTGATAACTGTTGTAAAGGCCTATAAATAGGCACCATGCATTGGAATGAATGGAACCTGTTTAGCACCTGTGGAACGTAACGCATCTGTGATAAATCTTTTTGAGTTTTGTAGTTATCTCTCAATAGTGACTGTGTATTTAAAGTAACCAAATAGTGGTAGAAGTAGTCATGCATATTTTAAAGATACCACTAGTGGTATCAGAGCATAGGTTTCCAAAAAATGATAAGCATTGGAGAGAATAGGTTGCCAAAGCGATAGGCATTGGTGTGGACATTTATTAATTGGAGAGGAGATTTAGGACCAGCAGGTCAGAGACAGAACTCAAGACATTGAGTGAATTTCAAAACAAAACATACTATTATGATCACCAACCAATAAAGGAGAAGATACCACAGCAAGATCACTGGCAATGACAATACATCTTATATTGAGTTTATTGGAGTTACATTCATGCTAATAACTCCTCATTATCATACATCAATTCCAACTTGTAGTCACTTGTGTAGCTCAATAAGAAAACTCACAACTTGTAGATGTAAACATATCACAGTTAAGTGGTAAAGTAGCATTGCATGACCTAGCAAAAAGCACATGCATTTACCTCTCTTACGAAACTTTGTGCTAGCAACACAAATGGCAGATTGATGGTAAAAGTAAACCATGGCTCTGCTAGACGTGACTACTACATGAGACTTTACAGTTCATGGCTTTGTTCCCAGATAGCCTTCACCAAGTAGTTCTCAACTCCTCAGTTGTACTTTCCTTGTGGCAATAACTTCAACAAAATGCTCACACGTTAATTCTAGTTACTTCTTCAAACATACTAAATGTCCATCAACCAAGCCATTTCCGCAAGTGCATTATCTAATTTTAAGGTCAACCATGGTCCCATTGGTAATAAGTTGAAATTTTATTTATATAGAAGCTATAGAATTGTCAGAACCATGAATGAAAATTTTAAAGCCCATTCCCCTGACATCTTTAATTTGCACAGGCATCTATACATTGACTATTATATAGAATTATAGATCTCTTTATGAATGGATCCTTCTTCTTGAACCATCGTTCAGAGCAACTAGTCACTTCCTAAGGAGTTTTCTTTCTTTTTTACTTTTTTATTTTTAAATTCCTAAGTGTCTCTTATGGACATCAAGGAATATTATGTGCAACCTTCAGTAAATTCTCCAACATATACCAATAGGGAATGGGACCATCTGTGATGTAAGTTTTCTTCAAAAAGGGCCCGAAAGTTTTATGAATCTATAGAAATCAATGATCAAACTCTACACAAGCACTAGAATGCAAATCATCGACCTACTCAAATCCCATCCAGTATATCTCTCACATACACATCCCACGGGAAATAGAGCACATAAATCATAAAATAAACATTATAACAGACTAACTTAAGCTCTCAAATAGTTGTGAAAAATGAAAGTGAAGTTGCCTTCGCATAAACCAAACATCAGTCAGGAACACCAACATCATCATCATCATCATCAAAGCCTTTTACCAACTAATTGGGGTCGGCTACACGACTCCTAATCCACCGAATTCATGAAAAGTTTTGATAAAATTTTACATTGACTGCCTACCATAGCTTACCCCTTTTACTGGGCTTGGGTCAGGTTAAGGAAAAGTTTAAGGTCATCACCCTTCTTAGAAGGGTGGAAACACCAAAAATGAATAACATAAAAGAAAAGTAATATATTGATAGCATAAAAAGCAGCCACAATTACTAGCTGAGATTCCACAACTTCAAATCAGTACCTCTCGCAATCAGCTTGAAATCAATATCCTACCAAGAACTATGATCGTTAAAATAAAATTTTGAATTGGAGACAAAAAATTGAATTCGGAAGCATAATGGCCTCGCAGATCTACATAACACAAGTTACAAATCTTTCAGTTCAATGCATGCCAAATCATGACCTTCAATAAAGCCATTGCTTTGGATTTCCTCATAACGAAAGCAATAAGATTACAAAACATACAGGCACAACGAGAGGAGAGGCGCTTGGAGTAGCGGATAAAAGCAGCTAATTTAAAAAGGATCCACATTGAGCCATAGAGCGCATAAAAACAACTGAAAAGGCTGCAAATCAATGAATTTCAAGAGAGAGACAACTTCAATCAACACTGATTGGGAACATCAATGAACCGTGAAAGACCAGAGCATATGATGGATTATAAAAACCAAAGAAAGAAACACCCCTATTATGATTGAAAAACCAAAGAAAGAAACACCCCCATTACGATTGAAACACAGTTGATCCAAACATACGAGATTAAAAATTAAACCCTAGATCCCAGTGTGAGAGGAGAAAGCCACCGTAAGCAAAACTAGAGGAATGTTCTACAGATTGCCCAGAAAAAAACGAATGAAACAGAACAAAGCGTGGCGCCCAGAAACCAGTCATTTTTAGAGAGAGTCACAGAAACAGAGAGAGATTACTTTGCCATTTATGACGAGCCAACAGTCTTGGGGGGTGTTGTGGTTGGAAACATCTTGCAGAGTGAAAACCTTGCCATCAGCTCCCATCTTTGTCTACCCAAATTCAAGCAAAGAAACTCGCAAAAGCCCTAGATTTTTACACACCCAGATCGGCAATGCGACGATTCTAGCGCTAGATCCCTCAAAGAAAACCTTTTTTTTCTGTTTTTGAAGATTGAATTATGGGGGTTGTTAACTTCTCGCCCACCGACCAAGAAACCAGGGGCTGAATGAATGTCTGAATGGGGGACGGGGGTAGGTGAAGAAAAGGGTGGAGTAAAAATAAATATTGATATTAATACAAAAATAGCATTCATGACTCCAATTGAAGTAATTCTTTAATAAGTTTTCCATTAATAGGGAGATGGGAGATGGTAGTTGGGTATCTAGATTTGGTGGGTTGGAGATAATTTCATTGGTTTTGTTAAGGTTCCCACCAGTCTCTCAAAATCAACAGATGGTGGACGTTGTTCGATTGGTGCGGGTGCTATTGCACCGGTACTACGTCTTCCTTTGCGGTGGCGATGGCCCGAGTGGCACGGCAGGACCTGTCAGCCGGCCCAGCGTATTTTAAAATTTTTTGGAAAACATTATATCAAATCTTAAACAATAAGGGATTTTATTTGTAAAACATATGTTTCTTCATTATTTTTGGCAAAAATTGAATATTGTTTTGACTGTTAATACTTATTTTTATAATTTTCTTTCTTTTTAGAAAATTTCAAAAATATCTCCAAGTACAAATGGATTCTTTAAAATCCATTTTTTCATTAGTTTTCAATTTCATTTGGATGTGTTTTGTTTAATCATGCTTTGGATATATTTTTTTATATTTTATTAGATATATTTTTTCATATTTTATTAGATTTTTTTCTTTATTTTTTTAATAATTTTTTTTATTGCTTGGGACTTGTCGAGTTACACCAGTTGAACCAACCAGTTTACTAGTTAGGCCGGTTGAACGACTTCTAGCCCATATCTGATTAATCATTTTGGTTCGATTTTTTTTACACTGAGCCCAATAAGTTGAAGAGTATAGAACCCCACAAGTACAAATACTAGGGTTCCGCCCATTGTTAGCTCCGCATGAACCACTAAATTTATTTATTTTTCTTTTTAATTTTTTTCTGCTTTTTTGTTGGTTTATTTTAGTCGGACTCTTTTTTCTTCTTTTCTTTTTTTACCAAAAAAAAAAAAAAAAAAAAAAAAAAAGAAAGGGGAGGAAGTTGTTGGGTTGGTAAAGTCAGAGTCCAATCACACCAAACAACAACGCACCCGGTTTTTTAGACAATGAGAAAGGTAGACACGCAAGAGTTAAGCGGCACCCACGGGCATCATTTTCTTTTGTTTTTAAGTCGAAGGAAGCAGTAGTGATGTGGTTTGGTGCGCATTTAACCCCCGTTGGAACTCCTAGAGTCAAGACTACATGCCACCATTAGTAGTCCATGTTTTAACAGGCGAGCCCGACCCGATCCTAAAAGCACTAGGGTCCGGCCGTGGCCTATTCCGCGGGTTACATTGACTCAAGCTTAGTTTTTTCAAGATTTTGTAACTCAAGACGGCAGTTTTTCAAAGCGGGGTCAAGCCACCCAGCCCATTGTCAGCCCTTTACAAAATCCTCCTAATTTAGGATTACTGTAGGCTAGGCGCTCCAGCAGAAACATGATGTATGCAATCACACCGGAATACGGTCGAACATCACCTAATGAAGACTGTGTCAAGATTGTGTCAAGATGTTAATAATTAGGATTTGCTAATCCAGAAAAGAACTTTAAGTGTTAATCTTTACAGTTTGTTAGAGTATGCTAATTCTAGCAAGCTTAGTTCGCAATTGCTTTTGTAGATAATAAAGACCGAGTTTACTAATCAGTTGCAGTTGGCATACAGATGCATCCGTAGCTATAGAGGTAAGGTGTATTCAAATTTTATCGTGGTATATAAAAATGTTTTTAGGATTATCTCAAAATCTATTTTTATATCTAATGATAACATTTTAAATTTTAAAAATGATTAAAATCAAGTAGATCTATAAACATATGAAAATCTTGAAAATGGACAGCGTAGATAATATATTGTAAAATGCACTATTTTTTAGACTTAAAATCTTTTTATTTTTCAAGGTCATACATCTTGATGATCAATCAAAGGGTTTTTCAACATTAAAACTATCTTTCCTGATGGATTAAAGGGTTTTTCAACATTAAAACTATCTTTCCTGATGGATTAAAGGGTTTTTCAACATTAAAACTATCTTTCCTGATGGATTTTTGAAGTGCATCCGTAGTTCTACATTATAAAGTTGCATCCTTATATAAACTTTTTCCTTAGTAATCCAACCTACTCAATTTCACTGGTCCCTATGGTGAACGAGGAGACCGTGTTTTAGAATTGGCTGAAGTTCATGTAAAGCGTCAGTTTTGTATTAATGGTAAAAAAATAAAAATTTAAAAAAAATAAAACCTTAGATTATTAATATTTAATGAAAACAAAAAATTTCAATCCCAATTCATAGAAATAAAAAGAAAAATAATTATAGCATGATGATTAATAGACTTCATGGTATCTTAAATAAATTAAATTGCAGAAAAATCTACATACTAAGGAATGGTAGATCAATATAATTCATCTATCCATGAAGTTAAATTTTCTAAAAAAAGTAGCTATTGACAATATAAAACCATAATATATGCTAATAAAAATAAAATATATTAAAAAATGTGAATCGTGGGCATCAATAATTTAAATAAGAAGTTCAGGAAATTCAAAAAGAGAAACAAAGATGGTATCCTCAATCTTTGTGGAAAGTAAGATATCATCTTTTATAATATTTGAAAGTTTGTAATTAGTATATGAAGCAATTTTTCTGAAGTATCTTATAAAATTTTGTATTTAAAATTTGATATTTCTTAAAATGCCAAGAGAATAAAAACAAAACTAGTGTCCAACTCTTGTTGAAAAGAAAATACTTTTTAAAATTTTTAAAAGTTTATATTATAAGGAAAAAATTAAAAATAAGTCAGGAGTTCTTAGAGCTGGTCTCTTATTTATATACAAAATACTACATAATAAATATAAATCAAACAGAATTTAAAATAAAAATTAAGAAGAGTTATTATAAATTAAATTTAGAAACATGAAAGTTCATATTCTAAAAGTGAACAAAACATATTAAGAAAAATAATAAAAGTTCATGCAAACCATGTATATTGTGTATAGAGAGCAACAACATGGAGGAAAATCCTGATATATTGTGTATAAAGGGCAACAAATGGAGGAAAATCCTGATTATAAATATATAAAAATATATAAATAAAATTGTAATAGTAATAAATCCAAAAATATTATTTAATGTAAAGGATGAGTTTATGGGGTTACATGTGTCTTTGTGAGGATAAACAGGAGGTTCAACGATCAGCAAGTTAAAAGGAGATCCAACTACGGGTGTGATTTATTTCATTTCCTGGATCTTTATTCTATTTTGTTGTATGATGTGATTTACAAGCGGGCCCATCTCACGATCTAAAGAGGGTCAGATCTCTTATCTGCGGTTAGATAACCTTTAGATCGGAATTTGGTTGGACCCCGATCTACCTAAGTTTTATTAACTAGAGAAGAGTAGATTTTGCTTCTGATCTCGTGCGAGATCAGTCCCAAATCCAACTATACATAATCCCAAGTTAAATTTGTTGAAATCTTTTCGTCAAGTCTCGAAAGTCTAAAGTTAACACTCATTTTTCATGAGTTAAGTGCCTTAAGATCATGAATTTTTAAAGTCATCTTGGAGGCCTTAATATCAAATCTTCAATATCCCAAAGTTAAGAAGATTTCAAACTTTTGAGGTCTGAAGTAGGGAGTTTTGGACAAAACATATAAAAAATAAATATAACTATGAAAAACAAAAAATTAAGAGAAGTTTTCAAATAAAGTTGGGTCATGAACATAAATATCTATTTTTTTGTTTCTTGGTAGGCAAGTGGAGGAATTACGAATCTTTGTGTTCCATAAAAATCATCGATCTGGATCAGAATCGTCTGATCTGGATTGATTATTTGAGGGTACTATCCATGCATATATTATGGATTGGTTATTTGAGGGTACTATCCTTGCATATATTATGGATTGGTTATTTGAGGGTACTATCCATGTTCGTTGCATATATTAGGGATTGAGCAGTCCTCAAAAGAATTGGTCAGTTCGTTGATTAATCCAGTTGATTCTACCAAAAAGTCGATTCTACCAAAGAATCGAATTCGCTGATTAATCCAGTCGATTCTACCAAAAACCGAATCCCTTGCTTTTTAATTTTTATTTTTATTTTTTTAAAATCTATATTTGATGTTTTTATTAGAAGAGGGGGTCTTTTAATTTTTTATTTCAATTTTTTTTTTATTATTATAAGAGGGGTGGCAAACCCCTCCATGTAGGGCCCACCCCACTCCTCGAGCACGAGACAAACCACTTTTGAACTTCAATTAGTGCTCCCCGCCACCGTCGTGTCTAAAAAATCAAAAGCATTCATCTTCAAGCCCCCTATGTGGGACTAAAACCATGGGGTACACCTTTAGTTTTTAAGATGTGGGACTGAATCAGTGGACCTTTAAGCTTTGATTTTTTTTATTAAATCACATCAATTTACTCTCCCATAGATCGTTGATCTCTCTTTCTCTCTCCTTCTCTCTCACTCTCATCGATTTACTCTCGTATGAATAGATGATCTTTCTCGATTGATCTTTACATAATGAGATTTATATATTGAGAGAGTGGCCCTAATAATTACCCAATGTGATATTGAAATAAATTACTAATGACAAAAACTTATGAGAAAAATGAGTTGGGGCTAATTGGAGTTAAAAACTCCCGTACTTAATCACATGAAGGAGTTTTTCACATGAACATACTTTCATGGAAGTATTTTTACGCACACCAAACATGTTCTAAAAAACACGCGACAAATTTGAATAAGCTAAAAAGAGAAAAGAAATAAATATAAAACTAAACAAAATAATAAAATAATGCATGAAAATAATTATAATGAAAAATAAATGAGGAGATGATGCATTAGAGCTTGAGATGATGAGGGAAAATGATATATTAATTAGGAATAATATACGAAGAGACTATCGTCCATCTTACCTACTTTTGATATAAGGAGATCATAAACACTCTTGTCCATCTTATTTCAAAACTGGGGATTGTAAGAGTGTCATTTAATTAGATTCAAAGCTCAAAAAAGAAAATCTCAAACTTTGTAATGCACATCAAGCTATGTAATTTGGCATCTAATGGTTAGGAATAATTATGACCTCTTTGTAACATAGATAAATGGTCTCATTCCATATAATCCCAATTGTTAAGTTTTAAAATAATTAAAGATTAGAG